CTTGCGCCTTAAAAATGACAAACTGCTCTTACCACCGCCTCTTTTTGTTGAAAAGATAAAAAAAAAATATGGGGGGGGGGGAACCAAATGAAAACATTGATTGAAAAAATCTTAGATGCACAGATTGTATCTCACATTAATCTAAGGGGAGCTTTACAAAGTCAATAATTGTCATAAAGATTCATTGGTCAACATTTAAGCCCTAATTAAAAAATATTTTGATGGTTTTATTCCAAGAGCATATGCATTTTCTGACTATCGGAATAATTTAATTTTTCTGGAACACCAAAGAGGAGTTTTCAATAAAGGAACAGGTGCCGTTGATATAAATAAGTCAGCATTTAAAAACAAGTACCTTGAAATGAATTGATGATCTATACGTTCAAATGCTTCTCTGCCAAAGCAGTTGAAATGGATCCTTCACTGGGTTAACTATTTGACTTGTTGGGTGGCTCGTGGTGTTTTTGCTCTCCTTCCTCCAAGTCTTCCGTCAAATCCTGCCTTGGTTTTCCTGCTCCTGCTCCCCTCCCCGCCATGACTATTACCGCTACCCTGCAAACATCTGTTGAAAGCCGTCCATCTATTGACAGTGGGTGAGTCTGCCACTATCCATTTTCATGTGAGTCCTCATGATAGATACTTTATTACACCTTTTCATGACTGAGTCCCAGAGGCCTAGAGAGCTGATATCATCCACCCCGTCATAAGACTTGACACCAAAAATGGCCAAATAAGAAATCTTCTCCAGCACTGGCATTCTTTTTTTTTTTTCTTGAAATTATCATTTTTTATCATGGTAACATGGATTCACAACACTGTGATTCAGAGGTGCAGGTCACACCTCTTCAGATGTGTGTTACCCCACCCAGAATCAAGTTGCCCATATTACAAACGTCCCATCCTCTGCGGCAGGTTGAAATGTGGATTAATTATCTGTGTATAAATGGTCTTTCCTCTTCTCTAGTCAATCTTTGTCTCTTTCGCCCTTCCAAATTTGGCTTCCAAGAGCTTCTTTATCTAAAGCCATTTTGATCTTTCTAGATTCCCAAGCTCTTGTTCTCCAGCCTGGCATAGGGCTTTTGTCTTATGCCCAAACCCATGCTGCCCTGTCACTGAGCTTTGGGGTTCTCATCTGAGAAGGTCTTATTTTTTCATCTTGACTCTGCTTTTTTTTTTTTTTTAAAGATTTATTTTATTAATTTATGCATATAAGAACTGGGGTGTAGGCCAGGAGTGCGGGGAAGTGAGAGGATTCCTCAGAGACAGAGTGGGGAACAGAACAGGCAGACTGACTGAAACACACTGCTGAGGGGAGCAGCAGACAAGTCAGGAGAGGTCTGCTGCGCCATGTGGGTCAGCTCCCTGGCCAGGGACTGAACTCATGCTGTAGCGGCTGCCTATAGCTTCATAGTGCTGAGACTTAATCCCTTGAGCCACCAAGGAGGCCTTTGAGTCTGCTTTGGACTGTTTTTATATACTCAAATTGCTTCCATTCGCAGGTACCCAATACTTGTCATGGAAATGACTTATTTTTACAGCATGCTCTTGAGTCTGGCAGTCCTCTTGCACATACATTGTGGAAAGGTTTGCGGAAAGCAAAGTAGCTCCATAAGTTCCTGTCTCTAATCATATCAGTTTCATCTCTATAAATCTGCACTGATCCTTTGTTTTGTTGCTCTGTATTTCTCATGAGTGAAATCACCCAGTATTTGACTTTCTCCTTCTGATTTATTTTGCTTAGCAGCACCCCCTCCAGTTTCAGCCATGTTGTCGCAAATGGCAAGATTTCATCTTTTTAAAGAGTAGTATTCCCTTGTGTATATAAACCACATCTTCTTAATTCTCTCCTTTGTTGTAAACCAATGTTACCTCAATAAAAAATAATACAATAAAAAAAAATTTGCCCTGGTAAGGTGGTTCTCAATGTGTGATCCATAGACCTTCAGTGTCTCCAAGAATATATAAGGAGGAGATCTGTGGGTTCAAAACTATTTTCCTAACAACCTTAGTCGTCATTTGTCTTTTGCACTAATGGTGCAAATGCCATAATGGGACTGATGGTGCCTTAGTGGGAATCCAGGCCCCAAACCATAACTTACAACAAAAAACTCTCAGAGAGATGAAAACAAACAAGCAAAATGCCAATTTCACACAGGAATGTCCTTGATACGGCATTAAAAATGATTAATTTTACTAAATATTACCCCTCGAGTACACATCTTGTTAATATTATGTATGAAAAGGCGGGAAGTACAATGCAGTGCCCGTTATGATGACTGTCAGGAGGCAAAGCAGCTGTGTGATGGAGTTGTGAACTGAAGTAGCTGCTTTTTCAGGAAAGTATTTTTTACTTGAAAAGTCTGACAAACTGGTTATTCAAACTTAGATATTTGGCAGGCACTTTCTTTTAAAAATGAATGAAGGGAGCCTGTCACTTCTAGGAAAACAACTGACAGTATTTGTTGCCAATGATAAAATCTGAGCCTTCAAGTGAAAATTAGAAATTTGGAAAAGTTGTATCTGCCACTACAAGCTTGACAGTTTTCCAGTGCTTAAAGATGTGTTTTGGTGAGGTGGTGGTATTAAAGAATGTGGATGTTTTGCAGATTATGTAAGCACAGAGTCAACAACAGGAAGATTTGCATAAATTAACCAACCCATCTTTTCCAAATAATCAATGTAGGAACAAAATATCTATTAAAGGTATGGTATAGAGGAGTGAGTGTTACTATAACCAAGTAGGGAAAATCCACCAGGATAGTCTTAGATTTCATAGTACAGCTAACATTTAAAAAAGCACCAGTGTTGAGTTTTGACATGGTTTTGAAGAATATCCACAATTATCTGAAAAGACTATAAAATACTCTGCCCTTTTCCACCTACTTATCTGTGTCATACTGCATTTTCTTCACAAGCATCAACCAAAATAAATCACAGCAGACTAAATGCAGATGCAGAAATGAAAATTTAGCTGTGTTCTATTAAGCTAGCTTGGAGAGATACTTGCAAAACTATAAAACAATGCCATCTTGTTATTCTTTTCTGTTTCACAATAGTTATTTTTCATAATATTATGTTATTTAGGGTTATATGCAATGGATTTGTTGTTTTTGAAAACATGGAGTAAATAAATATCTAAAAATTTTGCTTAAATTTCTAATATATTAGTACATAGATAAAATCCACATGAAGTAAAGCTCTTTGCGTGCTCAGTAAGTTTTAAGAGACTAAAAGGATGCAGAAACCAAACAGTCTGAGAATTTTTGTGGTACACAGATGTAGAGACAGAGGTGTAGGAAGATAAATCCTCCACTAAATCAGTGTCATTAACTTCTGTGTACTTGCTTGAGCCCCAGACTTAGAAAACGTATGTTGTACCTTCCTTTCCTTCACTCCTTGCTCTAAGCAATGACCTGGCCATGCTGGCTCCCTTTGTTAAATATAATGAAAAACCTCCTTCCTCTCATCATCTGTCTCCAATTTTATACCAGGGTCCAGGTCGTATGAGGGAAGTTGCAGCAATAGACTTGATTTTTCCATGCCTCCTTATATCGCTCCCTTCAGTATTTTACTTTCACGGTGCTATTGGGTTTGGCCACGTGATGTGCTTTGGCTAGTAGGGTGAGAGCAAGCCTGACATAAGCAGAGACTTGAAAGTCTCTTGAGTTTGGGACTTGCTCTCTCTGACCCCTCCTGGCCCACTATGACCACCACTGTGGAACAACCCTGGATGATGAGAGCTCTGTGACTCAGTTTCCCCCATGACTTCCACAACTTGGTTGACCCAGCCGAACAGAAGACTGGGCAGAGAAGAATCCCCTTTCCTGCCACTCTGAGGTGACACACACTTTAGCAGGTCAACAGGGTATGATGGGTTATGTATTTAGATTTCTAACATCATTCTAGGAAATTTGGTATAATAAAAATTGTCCCTTTATAACTGTGGACATTGAGATAATGGAGGGTCCCTGCCCAGTTTATTAAGAACAGAATTTTATCTTTAACTTTTAAGTTACACATAGGTGCTAAAGCTGAAATTATGTGCTGTCCCTTGGAACGATGGATTTGATCAATTTAGTTCAATGTCTGTTATTAGGGCAGGAGATTGGGTGTGTAGCTGAACTGACTAGTAGTTGAGATGGTGAATTCAGTTGAAATGGCAATTTTGGGTTATCTAGCAGTTCAGCTGGGTTCTAGTAGCTCGGTATGGACACATTCTGAGCCACATGCTCTCTTTATGTAATAAAATGTGGTTTTATTGGATCATCTGTTTATCTGATAGGCTCTCAGCCAAAAGGTGAAAAGGGTTTAATAAAATGCTATGGCAATAGAAGAAACGTAATTGCATGAGATATTCAAGAAGCAATATCTAATGTAAAGCAAGTCTCTGCTCATGTTGCATCCTGAGATTTTGGACTCTGGTTGACCAGAGAGAAAAACATGAATCCTTATGACATTTGTGGCTCTGAGCCAATTTCGAAGTTGTGAAAAAAGATTGCCCCGATGCCAACTCCCAAAGACAAGTATCTTTGCATATTTAGGATGACTAAATTACAGGACTGACCTTGGTCAAAATTACCATTATGTTGTCCATACACTCATCGTGATGATAAATAAGACACTTTAAAGCATTATGGAGTATCTTATTACAGTTGCTCTCAGGTCGGATATATTTTCTTAGTGCTTTAAAAGCATTTCTCTTCCTTTAATTTATATTAATTTTTGTTTCCTTTTCACATATATGGAGAACTATACATATAGATGTGACCTGGTTAAATTCCAGATTATTTTTTTATTACCTAATTGTTCATGGAAGCATCCCCCCCCCCCCCATAAGTTTCACCAATTTCCTGTGCACAATAAAGGCAAGGCCATGTTTGGAAAGGAATGACTATTATTTAGAATTCAGAAATGAGTCAAAGTAAAAACAGTTGAGCACGTCCAAAATTCTTAGGAAAGTCAAAGAACAATTGAGCACATTCTGGAATTCTTAGGAAGAAATGAGCCCCATCTTCAGCTTCCAGAGCCTCCAGCATTGAATCAAGAGTAACACTGGGGAAAAACATTTAAGCAGTGAAAGCGCTGGGTGGGGTGCGCAGGGCGATGCCCCCAGGCCACGGGAGCCACACGTGGCCTGGGGGTCCTCAGCCTGGAAGCTAAGGGGGATCGCCTTCACACCCTGCCCGCCCTGCCCTTCCCCTGTGGGGACCAGAACCTCAGGGTGTCTCCGAGGAGGAGAGACCATGCGCGGGGGTGCCCGGGGTCCCCAGAAGGGGCTGGGGTGATGGGGCTGCCGATTAAATTCTGTGTAATGGGGAGGAAGAGGCAGAAGAAAGATGCAGCCTCCGTCAGAGGGGTAGGGGTGGGGGTGGGGGTGGGGGTGGGGCTGGGACTGGGACCCCGCCCCCGCCCTTGGGTGCTGTGGCCCTCAGGGTCCCCAGTGACTTCAGGAAAACACCATCAGAGGCTCATGCTGTCCTGGGGACTGAGGGAGAAGGGAGGCTGAGAGGGAAGAGAGGGAGCAAGCGCTAGAAAGAAAAACAAGGCAAATCTGACTGCTGGGTCATTTCTTTTCTTCAGTCTCTCCATAAATGGCCCATCTTGTCACTGCCTAAACTTGGGTGTTCATGGCAACAAAATGAGACGCCCTCTTGGGCCCCCAAGGTGCCTCACCCGGAGCTGATCCCGTGTGCTTTTCTGGGGTTGATTTTGAGGATTCCTGGTGATGCTCTTCTTGGTCCCCACAGCAGTTTTCTCCCCAAGGAGAGGCTGATGTGCCCACATAACCTTGCTTCACCTGCAAGGTCACAGTTTCCATTGTCTGTGCTTGACTGTGGGCAGCACCTCCAGGAGCCTCACAACTGAAAACAAGTAGGACATCAGATTTTATAATTCCTATAATCACGCGAAAATACTTGCATATGGTGAAAAAACAAAGAAGTGTTTTAAAATTCACATTGTTGTAATAGAAGGTAGAAATCAACAGGAGAGTCTCTATGACTTTTCTAGAATATTCTTCTATTTCTTTAAAAATCAAAATGAAAGAAATGAGTCTGATTTTTTTTAAATTTAAACTGTGAACCAGTGGTCAAAGATCTCTCATAATGCAGATCTGAAAATCTGTGATTTTCTGAAATGAAACAGAAAAAATATCACAAGAAAATAAGTGGATGAACAAATAAATTATTTGTAGTTATTTGCAAATGCTATATTCTCATCTATAGCCATGTTAGTAAACGTTAAGAGTTAAAGGTGCTTTAGCTATTGAACCAAGAATCCAATGATAAACTATAACAGAGTGTTATTCTTCAGGAAAAAGTTCTTTGTTTTTTTCTTATCAAATCTGCTATTAGAGGTGAGCTTTTAAGGATTATGCTTTCATTTTTTATTTATTTTTAAACACACCAAGTGAACTTGAAAAAAAAATAGGGAGAAAGGAAAAACCAGCCTCTGATAGATTGCCCAGTAGAGAATTATTTATATGAAAAACCCTGCCTAAGCATAATTTTTTGAGATGACATGTGCTTTGAAAATACAATGTGATTTCATCTTGAATGTAAAAGTAACTGTCTTTTTTTTTTTTTGCTGACACCATGAGATACAGAACCTGCTGATGTAACATGGATGGTCGTTGGCTCGTTCCATCCTAAAGACTATAAATCCATGTGATGTACAGTATACAGCACAGCATTGAGCAAAATAGTACTGATTTATGTAATTGGAAATTTGAGCAATACAATTTCACTTAATTATGTTTGGTTTTCCGTCTTTCCAGCCTATATATCTGATACCGAGCTTGGTTCTGATTCTCTTAGAACGGTTCTTTTTTCAACCCCATCCTTGTTGGAGCACAGTCTGAGGTCTGTTATGGTTGCCTCTGGCCCACTCAGTGAGGGACTACTCTGTGGTGAAGGGTCAAGATGGAACTGAGTTTCAGGGGTTAATCATGAGTACACCAACAGGTCCAAGCAGGCCGTGGTGGGTTTCCTGAGATTATTCCCATCCCAACAGGTCCAAACACATCTCTCTATAAATGGGTGTTTTAATTGTATATGATCTTTTACTTTAGGAAAAATGTGTGTTGTATATTATCTCCTCTCATGCAGAGATTAGACTCAATAAGTATTTGTTGAGTGAATGAATGTCCTCTCCAGTGAAGTCTGTGTAGGGTAACTTTTGTTAGCTCCCTTTTCCAGTTCCCAAACCTAAGCACCACCGCCCACTCCACCCCTCAGGACCTACCCTGAGCTCACTTTTATCAATCATGATTCTTTGTAATGTGGTCTCACCTTTGGTTTTCTAAATTTCTCACCCGCTCACAGCTCCCTAGAAAAGCTCCCTCTTGTGCCCAACACCAGCCACATGCAGATCCTGAAGAGTGTGAACATGGACACTGGGCTGTGGGGGCTCTCACCTCACTCCCGCTTCCTGACATCAGATGTGCCCCTGCTCCATCCTCACTGCTCTTAGGAAGATGTGCCCTGAGCTGCCCCCATCACTTGTCTCTCCTGAGCTGTACATGGCCTCTAGTGCCCTTTTTATTAAGCTAGGCCAGCCGTCAGTACCTCTCACTTTTGTCATACTCCGTGAATTTTCCTATGATACCAGTCATGCAGTCGCTATGGTAGTAAGTGTTGTCATGTTCTCCAGGACAAGGAATCTTAGAATATTCTGTATCCCTAACAGAGCCTAGTACAGTATTAGACACATAGACATGTGTTATGGGCTGAACTGTACCTCCCTGAAATTCATATGTTCAAGTATGAACAATAACTACCTCACAATGGATCCTTATTTGGAGATAAGGGGCATTGCAAATAAGTAGAAGTTACATAGTGTGAACCCCCAAACCAAAATAATTGTCATCCTTATAAAGGGAGAAATTTGGGAAGAGAGACACATACACAGATAAAATGCCATGTGAACAGGAGAGCAGATATTGGGCATGCCAAAGAGAGTCGCTCAACTTCCCTGGGGCTGGGAAGGAGGCATGGGGCAGTGTTATTGTAGATAATCTTATCAAGTTAAGGAAGTTTCTATCTATTCCTTGCTCATTGGGAGTTTTTCATCATAAATGAGTGTTGGATTTTTGTAAGATGCTTTTTATACATCTATTGACATAATCATGTAATTTTTTTTTTTTTTAGCTTGTTGATATGATAAGTGAACTTTGTTGTCTTCAGTATTGAATCAACTTTGCGTATCTGGCACAAATCCTACTTGGGCATGGGGTGTCATTCTTTTTATACCTTTTTAAATTTGATTTTTCAATTTTTCTTGAGGATTTTTCCATCTATGTTCATGGTAGATATTATTTTGTGGTTGAGTGCTAGGATCATCCCGGACTCACAGAATGAACTAGAAAGTATTTTGTCTGCTGCCATCCTCAGAAAGAGATTGTAGAGAATTGGTATAATCTCACTAATAAAACCACCTTGGTCTGGTGCTTTCTGTTTTAGGTTATTAATTATGATTCTATATCTTTAGTAGATATAAGCCTATTCCTATTGTCTATTCCTTCTTGTATGAGTTCTGACAAATGTATCATTTAAGAAAATGGCTCATTTTGTCTAGGTTATCTAATTTGTGGGTATAGAATTGCTCATAGTATTCCTTCATTATCTTTTAATTTTTGTAGGGTCTCTAGCAGTATACTTTTTAATTTCTGACATTGGTTATTTGTGTTCTCTCTCTTTTCTTATTTTTGCTTGGCTAGAGGCTTCTCAATTTTATTGATCATTTAAAAGAACCATATCTGATTTTTGAAATATTCTCTCTTGATTTCCTGTTTATAATTTTATAGATTTCTGCTCTAATTCTTATTGTTCCTATTCTTCTGCTTAGCTTGAACTTCATTTGCTCTTCTTTTTCTTGTTTCCTAAAGTAGAAATGTAGGTTATTGAATTTAGATCTTTCTTCTTTTCTAATGGGTACACTTAATGTTGTAATTTTCCCTCTAAGCGTGGCTTTTGCTGTAGCCTACAAATGTTGTGTTTTCATTTTCATTTAGTTCAAAATATTTTAAAATTTCTCCTCACATTTCTTTTTTGATCAGTCAATGTGTTATTTACAAGTGTTCACATATTTTTGGATTTTCTAAGTCATCTTTCTATTATTGATTTCTACCATATTTGTTACTGCTTTCTATTTATTGCTCTTATTCCTATTTTTATCTTTTACTTTTTCTGCCTTTTGTGATTTTAACTGAGCATCTTACAGGATTTCATTTCTTCTCCTTTCACCATGTATGTTATACTTTTATTGTGGTTTGAATGTTTGTTCATATGTTGAAATACTAACACCCCCTGCTCCATGTGGTGATAATAGTGAGTGTGGCTTTTGGGAGGTGATTAGGTACAAGGGTGGAGTCTTTATGAATATGATTAGTGCTCTAATAAAAGAAATCCCACAGAATTCCCTAATCTCTTTTGCTCTTGAGGATAGAATGCACCTGGACGAGGCTTCTCTACCATTCTGGCACCCTGATCTCTAACCTCACTGGTTCTTCCAGTGTCTAGGACTGTGAGTAATACACTTCTGCTGTTCATTTGCCACCTATTCTGTGGTATTTTGTTATGATGGCTTGGACAGACTAAGACAACTTCTTTTTAAATATTTTTTATTAAGTGTTTTTTTTTAGAGTTTGTAATATACATTTGTAACTAATCCAAGTCCATTTTCAAATAACACTTTGCTGACTCACAGGTTGAATAATTATCTTATAAAAATAAAATAACCTAAACACCTCCGTCCAGTTCCTTATATCCATTGCTGTCATTTGTATTACACACACACATTTAGATATGCATTTAATTATGTATGAAATTGAATTTGTACAGTTAAATACATTACTGTTATTATTTTGAATAAACTATTGTCAGATCAATTAAGAATAAGAAAATAAAAAGTTTTTATTTTGCCTTCACTTATTCCTTCTCTGATACTCTACCTCATGACTTTAAAAATTGTGCCATTAATTTTAGGATCCAGAATATGCATAAATTCAGTACATAAATCTCTGTCGTTGGAGATGACTTATAGCATTAGATTATAATTCATTGTTCAATTCTATACCATTTAATAACATGATCAATTAAATTACCTAACCTAACAAAAAATCTGTAGGGTGGTCCTTATCAATAGGTAATATAGTGACATAATACAGAAAATCAAAATAGTATAGATCCAAGGCGCACATCTTTGTTGTTGAAGCTACAGCATCCCCTGATTTTCAAATATGTCTTTAGATTTCAAAAATATCAAAATAACTTTCTCTGTTCACTACCCTTCAGTTTCTTTTATTTTTATACACATCGATGTTTTTTTTTTCGAGCGTGGAAAAACCCAGAGATGCTTACATATGAGAAGGAGTTTGTTCTGACAGAATTTCCAGATTAACTTGGTGGCTGAATTTCATGAACTGTGGTGAGAAAGATAACTTTCATAAGGATTCTGAAATTTCAGCAAACAGGTCAGGGAGATAGGAAGGAGTTGAATGTCATCTTCGATGTTAAATCACTAGTGTCACTTCTTTCTGAGACACGTCCTGGAATAAACAAGTCCCTGGATTGAACATGCCAGTGGTTTTTGCTCAGGATCCCAAATAGTGAGAGGTGCTAGGAGTCCTCCTTCCTTGGGTCCCTGGGCAGCGGGCACATCCCTCCCCTCGCATCTTCTCTGCTTACGAAAGTTACCAGCATCTCAGGGGGATCTTCCAGTCTCTCCTTTGGATCAAGCCCCAGTGACTGGTGAGAGGCTGGTTGGGTGCATTTCCCAGCACCACCTTCAAAAGCTCTGCTCTCCTTGTCAGCTATGACCCTCAAAGACTCATTTTCTTTTCCTTCTTGAGAGCAAATTTCCACCAAAGAATATCTCCTGTCAGAATTTCGCTAGCTGCTCACACTGTTTTTCACAAGGCCTTCATGCTGGCGTCTGGAGGACCATGTCTCCACCCTGTGTTTTCTTCACAATTTCTCCAAAAGGGCTAATGAGTCTTCAAAATATAAATTCAAGGTTTCAGTGTAGGGTAACTCTTTTGCTGCAATCGAGGCTGTGTGCTTCATAATTAGTGATTGAGGAGATGCATGTACATGTATATTGTAAATACCCTCAAACTTCAATATGTCACCCATTTGCCAATGACAAAGCCCAATGACAAGTTTTGTTACTGTGTTTCTGGACTATGTCCCAGAGGAAAGAAAATTCAGAAGACAGATTAGTCTCATTAAATCATCTATACTTGTTTGTAGTGATTTACAATGTACACATATATTAGGCATTTAAAAATTCATTTTGCCTACATTTTCTGTTTCTCAATACAATTGAGTGATTCATTTATTTCTTTCAGTAAATAGATGTTGAGCACTTACCACTTCATTTGCATTGTACTTTGTGCTAGGGATACAACCATGAACAAATGGACATGAACTTAACCTCACAGGCTGGTGACTATAGATCAGATTAATAGTTAATCATAACTGTTCATTTCAACTTATCTTAAGACCTAGCACTTCTGGTTACTTTCGAGATGAGAACAAATATAATTTTAAAATACAGAAATCAAATGATTCAGAGAGGTTCTGGTCTGTGTTATGTGACCTTTTGAAACATGTTCATTTGTAATAGGGTTCAGAATTTGGCAGTATTCTCTGAAAGAAGTGTATCTACTTATTGAGGCAAAAATGGTTAATTGCAAGTATACTATGCTTGTTTGGATGAAATGCAA